AATTTTCAAGAGTAGTTTCTATCGTAATAATTTTAGAATTGGATTAATAATTTTTTTTTATCCTTTTCCTGGATTTATGTGTGTGGTCGTTCTCTTCACGCATGCGTGAAACAGACGGTCAATTTTCTGCGTGTATATATGTATGAATGGAAAATATGTATATATATAATTATAATAGATATTTACGTAATTTTTCTTTTGCTGAAGCCTAGAATAATGAATATTATATAACCGAGAATGTCGATAAAATGCCTGATATACAATTATATAATCCTGACTCGAACCACATCCACTCTCTCTCTGCCTATGATTTTATCGGCAGTGTCAGAAAATGACTGCTATGTAGTTCCATTTCAAAAGTGGATATCGGCGCCTAGTATTGTGTATGTATTATTGGCTATAGGGGACTGTTTTCGAAGAAGATATATAATGTAAATATAATTTTTAAAGTCGTCTGAGATTGAAGATCTCTTCTCGCGAGGAAAACGCTGCGATTGCGATTCTTTCCTCGCGACTGTTTCGCACCGAGGTAATTTATAATAAAGTTGCGATAATTGACAACTTATTTAAGTGGTCTCTAACCTAAAATGTAATCACTGACTTGTCAGCAATTACTGTATGCACATGAATATTATGCTGTGCTATTCGTATACAAACTGTATGAGTATATTTGTATGCGTACAGTACAACGCAAATTATAAACTTCAGAATTGTTCGTTTACTTTCAATGAAATTATGTGAAAATGTTGAAGGTACTTGATAAGACTCCTGACATGATAGACTCACAGGACATTAGTGAAGAGGAACTGAAAGTGTTGATCATCGATGCTGTGGGTGACAGTCTCTGCAGCAGCAAGTGGGTGCTCACCACTCTGATGTCTTTGCGTAAGGTAATTCCTTATGAAAGTTATTCTTTAAGTATAATTAATTATCTTATGTAGTAATGTCATACGAGACTCATAAATGAAGTATGTTAGGTGGAATACTTTTTGAAATTTTGCTTTATCAGGTACAATTTGTCACCTTTTTTTAAATTCCTTTTTGATCTCTTTTACTAGCGGTAATTTATTCACAAATGATAATCATTTGTTTAAATTTAGGATAAAATAAAAATAATAAATTTAATAACTTATTTCAGGTTGATAAGACAAGCTGGAAGACAGAGCTAGAGAATGACCTTTGCACTTTGTGGAATCTAAGTGCGGAAAAGGAAATGGTGTCGTATCTTATGTCACACGATTTTCTTACGATAGCCAAGAATGCGCTAACGATTCCTGACAATCCACGATTGACTGTACGATATATATGTTTATTTTTATTGTGACGTTCGATTGGGTTCTATACAGAAATTATTTTTTAACGACAAATTTTGACCATTTCAATAGCTAAGAATATATTTCTAGGAAATAATCTTGGGTATCATTGGCAATTTATGCAGTAATGAAGAAGTCATCGATAAAATAGGCTGCGATCGAGAATTAGTCACACAACTTCTAAGTTATTTAAAATCCAACGACTCGTTAATATTGATTCAACTCGTCAGGATTTTACAATCGGCTGTATGGAAAATCGGGCAAGATCCTCAATCAAATTGGGTGGCCCATCTTACGGAATGCGAATTTTTTGGGAAATCTATAACCTTCATATTAGACAGTTCGACCAAATGTAGGTACGCTAAATACGTACTCTAATGTGTCGTGAGAGAAAATCCCAACTAATGTAATCTTATCTTTTGCCGCAGACGACTTGTTAAAGGCCGCAATATGTTTGCTTGAATCTATATCCCAGATAAGTCTGCAGCACGAGGACAGTTTCTTCGAGAGACTGTTTAGGACAGACATCCTGTTTCACGCTCTGTTGGAATCGTATATACAGGTAATACCAATGGAGGAGAAGAGTTTCTCTCAATGGACGTTCGTCGGTCACTGGCTGGCGGTGCTAATTGCCGTAATGAAATCTGGCTCGCTTAAATTCGAGGATGACTATGAGAATGACAAGATGTTTAAAATGTTGATGGAAATTATGTTTGCGATATTGAAGTCGTGCAAGAAGTATAATTTATATCCAGTCCGGCAACAGAGCGCCAACATAATTTGCGATACTGTGCGCGTATTGTTGGGTTTTCGTCGTTGCGACATGAGTGTCCAGGCAAGAATAGATTGTATTGTCGCGAAACTAATTTTCTCCCTTAAAACAGGTACTTAATTTTATTTTTGAACATTGTAAATAATGCACGCACGCACGTTCATCTCTTAGCGTCTAACAATGTACGTGATAGTTTCAGAAGCAGAGGCGGAAAGAAAGATGGATTCCGAGGAACTGAAATCCGAGCTTTTAGATTATCTGATTAAATATTGTTTGCAAACCATTGAACTGTGTACTAGCGAACAGATTTTGGAAATATTGAGTTTATGTAAATGCGAGGTTCGTGAATGTCTAATAAGTCTTTTGCAGCCTAAAATGAGAAAACCTGAGATGATTGTCAAAATGAAAATAGTTGCGTGTGCTCTTGAAAAACGCGACTGAAGAATCTTAGAAAAGACGAGCCTTTATGTAATACATTAGAAATATAAATTTTTAATTTTGTAAAATATTTTGTCAATACATATTTAATAGTTATAAAAGCAACATTAAATAACATTAAGTACAAAATTGCAGCTACTCGACTATCAGCTTTGATGCAAATGTATCATAATTGTATATATAAAGATTTTGATCTAATTGCACATTCAATTTATTCTATTCCACAGTCATTCTGATTACTGCAATTTTATAATTAATGTTACTAATTTATTATGTTTTAAAGATCGAATGATGTTTCAATGTTTTTCTTCATAAATTGCGTAAATCTCTTCATAAATCTGGGATCTCAAAAACTGTTAGGATAAATTGTAAAATTTGCAGCCTGCAAAATTAATTGATTTTATTGTTTTACTAAGTTTCTCATATACAACGTTTATTTATCGAGCTATCATATCTGCTGTGTTAGATCAATTTCGAGTGGATTTTTCTTTGAAAAATCAGAGACTATAATTATTTATCTGAAATTTTCAAGAGTAGTTTCTATCATAATAATTTTAGAATTGGATTAATAATTTTTTTTTATCCTTTTCCTGGATTTATGTGTGTGGTCGTTCTCTTCACGCATGCGTGAAACAGACGGTCAATTTTCTGCGTGTATATATATATATATATATCTGCTTTCGAAGCGTGCAGATTCGAATTTGGCGCGACTATCCGCCGTCGGGTAGTCGGTGTCGGTCACGTCAACCGCGCGCGGTTGATTATTAATCCGCTCTCATATCCGCTCGGGTTCTAAAAGGTGTCGCTAAAATTGGGATCACATTCGCGAGAGAATCGCGAGGGTGCAGAGGGAAGTGCGGTAAATGACAATTAACAAATGTCCCCGTTGTCGAGATACCCAGACACGTCATGCGGTGTGAAAAAGAGGATATAGACACGCAAGAACGAATCTCCCTCGCGATGCAGCGCATGTGTGAGGATTATGGTAGTTAAAAAATTTATCTTTCCACCATCGTAAGCCGAATCTTCGAGATCCCGTGGAAGAAGGGGGGAGGGGGGTCGTCGTCATCTTCGTCGAAAGAGAGAGAGAGAGAGAGAGAGAGAGAAAAGTAGAGAGTGCGGTTAAGAAACAAACGAAGGAATTCTCTACGGAGGTAAACCTCCATGCAATTTTCCCGCCTTGTTCAGGCGTCTATAGCCTGTACGACGGCTGCACCTTCGCGTCGGGAAAATCGATCAATTAGCACGCGCGACAATTTTCCCCTTCCGCCGCGCACGTCGAAGGTAATCACGCCGCGGTGAAGGTAAACGGACGGCCTTGTTCGGCTTCTCGCCCCTCCCCCCTCTCTACGGAACAGCGGAATATGGGGTAGTCTGATCGTCGCAGCTTTTCAGTTTTTCAGTGCCGATCGCGAGATCGGTTTCCCCCCGTCACGGTTGAGCTCCTTGTCGTCGAGTGTTGCACGCTTCTCGTAAATAAAAAAAGAAAAAAATATGCGAATCGCGATCCCTCGCCGCGTATGTGTGCGTGCGTAGACGAGTGCCCGTCTCCCCTTCGCAGGGAAACGGCGGCGAGCGAATCGCAGAATCCTCGGCCGCCTCGGCGACGACATGTCCGCGGGATCGGAGGACGTCGAATTGGAGAATGGTGATTTTCCACTGACTAATTAAATCACTAATCGCTCGACCTCGGAGTGGAAAATTCTGCGGTGCGCGAACGTCGAGCTCGTACTCGTGGAGATCATTGAATTCTCCTTGCTTGAATGGCGGTTGTTAGAACATTTGGGATGTCAGCCTTTGCCGGGTTTGATTCCAAATCAAGGTTTTCAATTTTTAACCATGCATGTGGATTATCTGTCACTTTTTGGCACAAAAAATTGAGTTTTATGTAAACACAGATGAAAATACAGAGAAAAAATACACCGGTATAAAGTACGCATAGTGGACGAGCGCAATTACTTTTATCTCGCTTTTCTAATTAAAAGTACAAGTATTTGTTTTTATTTTATATATAAAAATTGCAGGAAATTAAATCTGTGCAGAAAAGTGGCAGAAATCACTGTGAAATTCTCACAATTGAGGGTTAATTCATGTGTTTTGTCCGAAGCGTCTTTTCAACTATAAGATACATATATAAGTGAATCGAACGAGGATCGCGAGTCTCTCGTCCTCGGAAGCGTGGAGAATGAAAGGCGATCCGTCGTTTTTCCAGTTTTGAGGCAGATATTCGTGGAGTGCGACGCGGACGCCTCGATCTCGACGCCGGACTCGACCGCGGTGCAGCTCACGGGGGACGCGGTGCCGATCTCCAGGATCGTCGAATACATTCAGGATCGATTGCCGGCCTGGTCGTGAGTGTCCCATGCACCGTCCCGCCAAGGGCTTATTTTTTTTCCTCGTCGGAGACACGCACAGACAGACACGCCGCACGCGCCGTTCGCCAGTTGTTGACGAAACAGTTGAGACGTACGCGACCGCGATACAGTTCGAAACAAATCGCCCGGTGTGTGTACGCCGCAGGCAGGCAGGCAGGCAGGCAGGCCGATCGATACAAGGACAAACGCGATCGACGACTCGGCGCGCACGGCTTTGGAATACATGCATATATTTTCGCGAGGCGGGAAAGCCCACGTGTAATGTAAATCGTATTGAACGGTCGCGATCTGTGCGGCTCGACGTGCGTGACACGTGTTGCATGTACGTAAACAAATGTATGGCATTTGTTTACATTGAAGTGTTGTCTGTACGGCTGATCGTCGGGTTGTCTCCGTGTAGATCGATGTTTCCGCGAGAAAGAATCGCTTCTTTACGAATGTCGTAACGCAACGTGTTAATTTTGATCGGTATAGAATCGACAATCTGGAGGAATTGTGGAGGTGTTTGGCCGCCGTCTCGACCAACGATCACGTGAATCTGCGGCAATTCAAGGAGGCAACGAAGCGCTGGATCGCCCAGGTTCAGCAACAGGTTCAGTCTGCGCAGGACGGCAGTAACAATAATGTCCGGGAGAAACTCCAGTAAGAGGAAGCGGAAATTTTCTTTAAAAGTAGAAAAACGCGCCGCACGCGTATAAACGGTTGTATAAACGGCGTATGTGCGGCGAAACGCACCAGTTTTCGCGTCACCTCCGAGTGACTTGTTGCGGTCGCCGCTACGATAATCACGGAATTATTGTCGGGAGGGGAAAAAAAACGAACGCACCTCTTAGTGGAAAACTTATTGATCCCGGTCGTAGTCTGATCCGAGAATTGCGCGTCGTGAATTGAGAAACCGCGAACGTGAAACCGTCGCGTGGACACACAATAATGCAACAGCGCGGGATCCAGTGAACCGTAAACTCGATATGTACGTGGAACGCGCCGACCGGGGGAGGAGGGGGAAAAAAAGGAGAACCGGCGCGGCGCGGTGTCTAGAGAAATTGATTTAGTGGCTAACCGAGTTACCCGCAGTTACTCCTCGCCCAGGAAGTATCATTACTCGCGGCGTACATTCATCGCGGACAGATTCGCCGTTCCGTTTTCGATCGACACCGTTTCGAGGAGATAGACAAAGGGTGTACATACTTTATTTATTGCAGAGCGCAAATGTGTAGATTCGATCGATTAAAGTTAAGCAGCCGCGGCATTAACGTTAACGTCGTGATCCGCGGCACCGTGATTCGTACATACGTTTCTGCAAGACGTCGTAAAACGTAAGTGGGTAATACGTTTCTCCGCCCATTCAGTGCAGCAACGCGACATTATCGCGTGTACATGCTCGATAAGCGGTCGGACCGCGCTTCGGCCGTGCGGTAGCAACCTCGGATTTAGTCCTACCTTTGGTCGGCCACGCTATATCTTCATTCAGAGACATTGAAAAATTATTCGCGGTTCTAGGAGCGCGCGATACGTGTAAGATATATATATATATTTATATGTATACGCATACATGTGCACGCGTATGCAAATGTGTCGCGACGTCGAGCTAGTTTACTTTCTTTACTTCGATGCGTATAGCGCGAGCGACGCCGTACACTGCTCGTTAAATTTTACAGCAGCGACCCTGCCAGCGAGAAAGCCGATAAGAAACTATAACGCGAACGAATTCGAGGCAAAATCGATTTAAAATTAGCCGAGGAATGTGCGAAAAATTGTGCGGCTAACAGGATACTTTGTGTTAACGCAACAAACTCAAAAAATAAGAAAAAACGTACGATGATTTATCAGAGGACCTACGAATGAGATATCCGATTTCATTTCTGATGACATTTCTGGAAAAAAAACACGATTCGATTATACTTTCTTATTGCTATTTAATTTCATCGGGTTTTTTTTGTTAAGCGGAAGACGTCACGTACACCATGCTTGCCTACGCAAGCCGACCGCTTATGTCCAGTCTAAACTACGTCGCTCGCGAAGAAGGTGATTGTCAGCCCCGCGAGAAAAACACAAACGCGTGCCGAAATCTCTCGCATTTAAGGGATTACACCACCTTGAGCGCTTAAAAATCATAGGTAACTTTATGAATTTTTTTTAGGAAATAATAAAAGTAATACAAAATTCGTTTTAAGGCTTTAATAATATATGTCTTTAGAAGTAAAAAATATTTTTTTCATTTATTTTTTTAATAAAATGACGCTGAAGCCATTTTATTAAACGTCGTTTTTGTAGCCACTGTCAAATCGGCGTTGCGGGGATCTGTCATTCGATTAAACCTGAAGCAATAAACCAAAATTTTTTAA